TTCTATATTGATGCAAAATTGAAAGACCCTAAACAATTAGTAACCATATATACAGTACTGTAGGTAAGAGAATGTGAAAAGGTTCATTATTTGTTCATTGTTTTATAGTTCCTATTGACTCAACTAAAGGAATAAAGATGTTATACGTATTTGTGGACATAAAGCTGGATGCCACACATTTTGTCAACACAGTCAGACACAATTTTGAATCTGGAAAGTCACTTGCACTTTTGAGCACAATCCAGTTTGTGACAACACTTCAAGTATGTATTAAATGATTACACTGATGGGACAGTATCAGGATCATGTTTATTGTTGGTACTCTTGACTGATATAGCGGTCAATATATTGGTCGAGAGTTGGTCGATACTTAACCAATATATTGGTTGACAGTCGGTCGACAGTCGGTTGACTGACTGCTTCTTCTGGATGGGAGGAGCATCTCACATGGTTCACTATCAGGCATTTTGTCAAGTTTCCATGACAACACACCAGTACCCATTTCTCTCCAAGCTAGAGAGAGGGGAGAGAGAATGCAACACAGTGACTTGGCTGAGACTTAAACCCTGTGGTTTGGATCCAGTGTCTCCTTTTATTGTGTTCATACTTTCAAATAATTTTTACATATATGTATTTAATTTGTTGTTTACCCAGGCTGTATATCAAGACCTGTGTAAAGATTATCAGGTAGAGATTCCGCAGTGTAAACCATTGTCACCTGGAGAGATTCTGGGCTGCACTGCTCCTAGAATAAAACACAAGGATGCATTCATGTAAGAAAATTATTAAGCAAAACAAGGAAATAATTAATATGTAATTTAGTTCATTATGAATTTAAGAAAACTGCACCAACTCTTTCATAGCGAGTACTCTTAAACAAATTGAACATTCTTTTGAAAATCTTTCTTATTATTTGTATTGGTAAATCTAGTTGTAAGTACTGTAGTGGTTTAGTTTCATTAAAAATTTGCACCATTAGATCTGAAGCTATTTGCTTATAAATAAAACAATGTTCTGAGCCAAGGATCACTGTAGTTTTAGGATGAAAATAAGGCAGTTTGTTCGTGTTTTCACCATGTCTGTTGTTTTGCCAGGAAAACTCCCATATAGCCTCTGTCTTATTTCTGGAAGAATTGTTTGGCATTCTTCCTGTTGTGTCCATGGCATATTTATTGTTTAGTGATGTTGCCTAGCGACAACGGTGCCCACTTTGACTAAAATAATCATGTTTGTTCTGAGGACTAACTTAAAATCATTTAACCCTTTCATTCCCAAGATCTCATTAGTAATTTTCCTTACTGTCTGCCATACGATTCTTTTGATGTTAGTGTGGAGAATTAAGTATAATTTAGTATCCGCTTAAAACCGTTTTTCTAGACCGTTTAACGGAAAAGCGTTAGTGTCCGTTTTCCCATGGAGGGTCACATTTGGTACTGTATGAACTACAACTACCCTAATTGATATTTTCCTTTAGTTCATCACTTGTCTGCTTGATATTGTATTGATATTGTAAGGAGAAATTCTATCTTGGTCACTCATAGGAGTGAAAGGGTTAATCATTTAATTGGTTGGAAATTGTTATCAAAAACTAAATTGGGAAACAGATAAGTGGGTGTTATGTTTTTGATTAATGTGTTATTATTGCAATTATTCCTAATTAAATGTTTGTTTTGTCACTGTATTTACCATTTTGATTGTAAGAAGCGGCTATCATTTAGGCACATGCCACCGACCACAGCAGGTACTTGTTTCAATTTTTTCTCACTGGAATGATCTTTAAACTTAAACGTTTTTTTTAGTTACTTAGGTGATGGAAGGTTTCATTTAGAGGCTGTCATGATTGCTAACCCATCTACACCAGCATACAGGTACACATAGAGAACTTCAAGAGGCAGATTTTTTTTACGTGTAACAAATAGCCTTGCCTTGCCTAACATGTAGCTTCATATTATTTCAATTGGTTGCAGTGCTCAACAGCTAGAGAGGCAGCACAGATTGAGCCATCATTGAAGCCTGATTTTTCAGACCTCTTTCGTGTAATTCTGTGAATAAAAATTCATCACTTTTTCGATTACAAAATTGTTTGCCTCTAGTAAAGGCATACTGTCTGTGTGAACAGAATGCGATTCCCGTCTGTTCCAGTATTTTCCCTATGCCCTCACTAAAACTGACCCCCTACCGCCTTGTACGCTTTGGATTGTTAGATATTGTATACCTTTCTGGGCCTTTGAGACAAACAACTTTTAACTAAAATTCTACTGCAATTTCGCTTTTATCGCAGATACGATCCCTATAGCAAAGTGTTTTCCAGGGAGTATTACGATATTGATGCCATGTTTCAAGCGAGGAAAGACGCCATAACTACAGCGTCAAGAGCTAAGAAATTTGGACTCATTCTAAGTACGTTGGGAAGGCAAGGAAGTCCAAAGGTGCTAGAGGTATTGCATACAGTTAAAATGTGAAAATTTTATAAGTAAATATAGTTTTTGAACGGAGTTCTACTTTGTGTGATTCAAAATTAAACCTTCAGTTGTGCGTTGAAAGTAATCGGCAATCAGTTCGCCATGTCATGGGTTGACTGACGTGAACAATCCAAGCTACCCTCTCAACCAATCAGGTGCAAGGCAAATATCAATCGTGACTCGGTCAATAATGTTGCTCTCACTGTACCTTTTAATTTTAGTTCCCATCGGGTTTTGATTATATTTTCGTAGTGATTGTAGTGATTGGACATCTGCTGGTGACTACTATGTTTTTGGTATTACGGCGCACTATCGAAATGCACTCTAAGACTTGACTCAAACTCTCTCTGGACAAAATCAAGTCATTCTCGCATCTAAATATAATTTTTTCTGATGCAATTAACTTTGGGGGAGGCTGCAAATTTAAATATAAATTCTCCAGTTTTCTTACGATGTAATGTGTGGAATATTTTCGTCTATGCAGAAGAATCTCTATTTTTTGGGCATCCTTATTTAAACGTTTTCTCTATTTAAGGGACACAAACTTTGATTAAAACCCTTGTATTTGATGCCGTCATTGAGGGGACACCCCTAGTTCAGGGATATTTTGCTTGTGACGGTTATTGTTCATGTTATCATCTTTTCCAAAGAGCTCATAAAGCAGATTTCATGAATCCTTTTATCTTTTAATTTTATCTGCAGAATTTAGAACAACGATTCAGCAAGGCGGGCCTGGAATATGTAATTGTACTCATGTCTGAAATATTTCCGGGTAAACTTGGATTGTTCGAGGACGTGGAAGCGTAAGTTGCTTTTCTTGTTAAGATGTGAAAACTGCTTTCCGTCGATAAGATAAGATAAGAACCTTCTTCACGTAAATTCTGTTTTGTCGGGGTTTCCAGGTTCTGGAAAGTCCCGGAAATCTGCCAAAATCAAGCAATAAAGTTTTTAGAATTTACGTAAAAGAATTCTATGTCGACTGTAAGGAGAATTGATGTTGAAATCTTGGCTATGAATGGGTAGGAGAGGAAATTTGGAGCCCTGGAGAAATTAGCCTGAGTCCTGGAAAAGTCTAGGAATAGTCCTTGAAATTTGTTTCTGAAAAAGGGTTCGAACCCCGTCTGCAATGAAAACGTAGCTTAGCTTCCAAGGGTTACTGATATTTCTTTGTCACTTTGTAGATGGGTGCAAGTGGCTTGTCCACGATTGTCCATTGACTGGGGCTACGCTTTTCCTAAACCTTTACTGTCGCCTTATGAGGTAAAATAATTGAATCTCATAACTATCAAATCCAGTTGAGCATGTTAGCAAATATCTTGAAAGGTAAGGTCCATGTCATCTGCGGGAGACAAATGTTTAGATGCATAACACAAATGTTCAGATGCATAACACAAACCGGGAACTTGACGGTTCTCGTTTTTATACAGAAATCGAATCAAATAGTTTCAATTTCGAGACTAACAACAAAATGCAAGTAAGCATGGGTAGAGACATTTTCCACCGGGTGTCGAAAAGCGATCTGGAATAGCTTTGTTTTTACTTTCCTTCACCCTGTGATTGGTCCAAAAAACTCGCGCCACCATCTCAACCAATCAGATGCAAAACTAAAACCAATCACGACTTGGTGACTCGCGTTTTCCCGCGCTTCAGGGACGTTGCCTGTTTTTACTTTGAGTTCTCATTGGTTAATGATGATGTTAACCTTTGTTCTGATTGGTAGTTGTGATTAGTTTGGTTTTGAGTTTTGGACACTCACTGAAAAAACTGCTCTAATGCGAGTCCTTAAGTGTAGATTCGTTTTAGTTTTTTCCGATTGGATGAGAGAGTAACGTAAATATCTAGACCCATCATAGTACGAAAAACAGCAAAAAGCAGTGGTATAGTGGTTTGCTTTTTTCAGTCAGTTGAAAAATGTTCTCATTGGAATTTTTTTCGTTTAATTTACAGGCGTCAGTTGTGCTTGAACAAATCGAATGGCAAGAAAATTACCCAATGGATTTTTACGCAAACGCTAGTTTGGGACCCTGGACTGTGAATAATGAGCGGAACAGACAAATACCGGTTAGCAGAAGAAAAAAGAACTTACACACAGAAAAGCTATCTGCGGAAAATGTTCCATCAAACGTAGAAGTCAAAGAAGGATGTGATGGACAAACTAAGGAGTGTTGTGGGAAATGCCATCAAGAGAAGCTTCTTAAGTTACAAGATGATCTGAAAACTAGTCTACAGTAATACAAAGAGTGCTTCGAGCGAAAACAATCGCCTTGGAACAAAAGAAATACGGGAAACAGAAGGCTCCTACCTTATCTTTCACTTGAATGGAACAGAGAGATTTGCGATCGATCGTCGCCAAACCAAAATCACGTCGGCCAATCTAAAATGGAAAATATCACGCGAAGTAAATGAGCAGTGAAAACGGGTTAAGCGCGGGAAACAAGAATGTTTAAACTGTGATTAGTTAAAACAATCACCGAGCGAATTGAAGCACAACCAGGAACGCCAAGTAAATGTCAACAGCCTGTTTAACATTAATGTGACTGAGTTCACAAGCAGGCGCATCGCAAATAAAATCAATCAAATTGATATCTTACGAACGTAATATTAGGAGAACAGCAAACTCAGCCAAATCAAGAATTTGAAAAAGTTTAAGTTCTTGAAAGGACGATACATCGTACATAGCTTACACACTTTTGCGTTCTGTCAAATCAAAAACACAGCCTTCACCCCTAAACACAAAATAAAACTGGCCACACGATCAAAAAACACCTATCTCAATTTAAGGGAGAGTTGTAAAGCGCGTGCGTAGGTAGTGACCCATGAGGAGAGGTATGTCCATCCGTCCTTGTGATTCATCATTAGTGAGAGAGTAAGTTAGACAGTATCAGATGGTTTTCAAAGGGGCTTTCCATTAGAAAAAAAAGTTACCATTATTTTTTTTTTCTGTGCAATATTATGATCTTTGGATAATTCGACGTTTTGACTACCCCTCCCTAAGTATCAATGATGACAGTCTGAATGGCACGTATCTCTTAGATTGGTGGTAAGAGAGATTTGATGGCCCAGCACTCGGGCCAAAGAAGTCTCTAAAACAAAGATAATAAATGCACAATCCACCGACAGAGCTAAAAAACGTCTTCGGAAACGGATTTTGAGAACAAAAGAGACTTGTCTGATTGGCGCGGAAATGGATTATGAGTCGTTTGCTTGTTTGAATTCCGTGATGTTGCTTCTAGGCGTTGATTCCCTTTGCGTTTTTTTTTACAGAGCAACCTCTAAGAACTTTGTACAGCCCCTAAATGTTTTCAAAAATTAATTTTCTCCCTAAAAACACTGGAAATAGGAAAATGCCTTCAACGACAACAAAATGCCTCACTTTTAAATGCCAGCCTTTTTTTTCTTAGCAAATTTCGTTGAATTTTAAACCTCGTGCGCTTGAGACCGCGCTATTGACCGCATACCTGTGACGTAGCATTTCGTTATTCTGGTCTGCCCCATCCTCCCCCATTATCGTACTTCCCCTCTGTCTTTAGCCTGTTCGAGGCGACCAGTTTGTAAAACGGAGGGAAATAGTTAAGACCCTTTGTTTGTATATAAATTTGTTACCTTCGTGAAACAAGTCATAGAACAACGATGTGAGCCAGATCCTCTGAGGAGATTGCTACTTCTCTTTCATCATCCTCTTAACAAGAAGAGATCGCGATGACTCGTCCTCACAGTGACGCTTTCTCAGATTTCCCTGAAATCCTGAGGTCAAGGAACCAAGGGCTAATACCTACCCCCAATACGTTCGCAGTTGTAGCGTGTGCTTTTTTCCTCTGTCTACGATATCAAAAAGTCATTGACAGGTTGGTGTACATTTCACGAAGTAATTGGTAGGGACATTGTATAATGCATGGAGTGCAGTGTAACCCTTTCCATAATGGGCCAAACTATTATAAAGAGGAATAAAACATTCCCTAGAAAAAAATTTAATTACACAAAGCCAATGAGATGTTGTATGAATTTATTTTGAGCATAAATTTTTCCCACTGACTCTGAACGACAATGAAAATAGTTCCTTGTATTGTAAACAATCACAACAACACTTTCACAAAAACCAAAAAAATTGTGTTTTCAGTTGGAAAACAAGGAGAAGAGTATGGGACCGACTTTTTCAGAAGAAGTAGTCAATAGAGGAAGATGTTTTTCGTCTTGCCACGAGCGTGGGACAAAGGAAAAAAATCTGAGTCCTCATGAGGAATCGAACCTCATGGAGACTCAGAATTTTTTTCTTTGTCCCATGCTCGTGACAAGACGAAAAACATCTTCCTCTATTTCTTTACCGAGCTCAAAACTTACTATCTTTGGCTTATTATATTTACGAAGTAATCAATGTTTACAAGTGATGTAATCAACTTAACTCCAGCACAAACTCATCTTGAGTGATTTAAATATAGTATTTTTGTGAATTTTGATTTGATTTTGATTTTTTTATCACTAAACTCAAAATTAGATTCTACCATGTCTAAGAGTTTATTTGAAAATTTTTGCCATAAAAACTTTAATTTAGTAATGATGATAGTGTTTTGGATCAACCGAGTGGCGTGGCCACAAGCACAACTCCTTCTTCTGCAATATTTTGTGATCCTAGTGCTAGTTTTGATAGTAAGCTTTCCATTTTATGCGTATTTTGTTAAGCTGTTTTAAATGCAAGAATATTGATGATTTTGATGAGATTGTTAGGAATTTTGCACTTTAAGTCTGTGGAGGACCCAAAACACCATCATCACCAAATGTACACAATAAAACGAACCAAGGATTCAATTTAGTTTCGAAGGGTTTTAGTAATGGTGGTTTAGGCTGTTTGATGTATTGGAGCTTTATCTCTACAGTGGCAATAAGCTTAGAGGTGGTGTTGCTCATAGGATACATGTCTTTCTTTTCCGAGACAAGAGGCTACATCCACCGTTGCAAAAATTGAAAACTCTTTCCAAAATATGAGGAAGTACATCATGGCTGGCATCAAAGCATTGAACAAATTTTCCTTCGAGTCTGTTAGGATGAGAGCTTAGAAAGTGTACAATGTGGGAGAGGGCAATTTTTTTTTTTACTGGGTCAGTCTCAAAAATACAGTTCTCCGTGAGTTCCAAAAGAAAAAAATATGTACTTATTGACTAAGTGTGAGGGCTAGACGGAAAATATTTGGCTCGAAGTCATGACGTACAGACCGAGCGAAGCGACGTGCCAAATATGACCGAGTGCAAAATATTTTTCTGTCTAGCTCGTACAAACTCGGTCAATAAGCATTTTATTATATGACCACTTTGTTTTAATCTAAATAGGACGCGATAGACGGGTGCACGCGGGTAATCACAAAAAACGATTCTAGAATACAAACTCATCCTTGTTTTCTTGAGCTGGAGCTAGAAAGACACATAATTCAACGAAAATCGCGACTTTTATATCGATTTTCCTCTTTCCTTTAAGTTTTTGCAGCAAAATTGTGTTAGTGCAGGGCCAGGACGGCTTTTTCCGGACCTGCTTATATTAAAGTTTTTATTATAGTTTTCTAAAGGATTGCGCTCGCAAAGCCGTACGGTCATGTGATAAAAGTAATCCAGCCACTAAGCCAGCCATCTAAGGATGTTGGGAGGCTTCATGCGTCAGCATCTCAGCCCCGAGTTGCCATAACTGGTCAGCAAGAGAAGTTAAACAAACAACGCACTTTTTGTAAAGAGAAGGGAACGTAGCTCACGTTCTTGTGGTGCACGTGGTGCACTCCGTATTATGTAAATTTTCCTAGTATATACACGATAGTCACATGAATATTCTTTCATTTCACCCCTGAAGAGTGAAGCGATTCACGAAACAGGCTTGTCGGGAAATGTAGTTGCGTCCTTTTTTCCTCTCATAATATTTATTCTGCTCTGCTTCAACGTATTGAGCACTGTTCCACGCGAAAATCGACTTGCAGACTTCCTATATATATATAGCATTAGCACTGCACTGATGAGGCCCAGAAGGCCGAAACAGTACTGTCTGCAGTTAGTTATATATATACATATATATATATATATATATATATATATATGTATATTGTGGCAGGAAAAAGACAAATAAACTACCAGTTCATCCCTACAGACTTCTTTCGTGGTTACTTAATCCCCTAATCATCCGGGGATTTAATGAAGATAATCTTTACCATCGTTTATATACAATATATTCTAATTTATGCAACGCGAGGTCTTTGTTTCTGTGGCGGCGGGAAGACACAAGCTCATTACGTTTGTTTAGCGTTGATAGTTCGGGTCGGCAGATGATTAGGAATTTTTCTTTGAGGCAGAGATTACATCTTTTACTTGAGCTGTTGTACGGCGAGTGTGATGAGAGAATGCACCAGGAAATAAAGTGCTCGATGTTGTTGTCTTTGAGGGTCCAGATGTGCTTGCCGAGTTCGGTGGAGTTTCTGCGTTTAACGTAGCGGAATGTTGCGGTGTGGTTTCTGCATCTTGTTTTGAAGTCGTTCTCTGTGAGTCCTACGTAGGTTTCTGTCGTGTTGTTGTCTTTGCGTGTGACGGTGGCTTGGTAAATTACTGATGGTTGCAGGCAGTTTCGCACGCCCGTCGAGCTGGCATGCGTTCTTTTGTCGGCGATTGCATGTCTTGTTATTAATGGTAGCGGCAGCGGCGGTATCATCAACCTGTAGAGATGCGGTTAGGGTGCTTTTGTTATGGTTGTCGATTATTTGTTTCGTGTTGGTCATGCAGCTGTAACTGATCTTGATGGTATTTCGGTTGAAGATTTTTCTGAGCTTGTGATCTTTGGGAAAGTGCTTGTCTACTAGGGCGAGGAATTTGTGCCCGATGTTGGTGCTGGTGTTCTTGCTAAAAGGAGGGTTGTACCAGAGGATGTAACTGCGTTGTCGGTTTTTCCGTTTGCTTGTTTTGGCTGGTTCATACTGTAGTGTGTAGTGGTATCCACTTTTGTCGAGTGCTTTCTGGTATGGAGGGGCGGCTTGGTCAAAGGATGTTTTGTCAGATGATAGGGACGACAGTCGTTTGTTGATGCCGGCGGGAATGCTCTTTATGGTGATTGGCGGGTGGTTGCTCTTGCGGTGAACGTATTGCAGTGAAGTATTCGGCTTTGTAAATGGCTGCTAAGTGCTTCGGTTAAGGTTAAATGTGACGTCTAGGAAGTTGATTATTTCGTTCCAATTCAAGCGAATGAATTTCGGTTTTGTACGTCACACTTTAGGAGCCAATGATGGAATTGAACATGTAAAAATAACATATTTCATTCCTTTTTAGCAGGAAACGTCAAGCTACTGTGTCCATCCGTTCCGAAAATTGGAATTTCATTACAAGATTCCTACCAGTAAAACTAAAGCTTCTTTCTTTCTAATTCGGTTTTGCACGTCACACTTTTATAGCTTCGAATCGACCATATTTGGTTCACCATACCACTCTTTTTAACGTGTTCAACTTTCGTAACTTAACACCGAGTCACACAACGCGTGACGCTTTCATGAACTAATCGTTTGTTTAATCTCGAGATATGAGCTTGGGCTGACATTGTGTTACGGGGTGAGGATCTCCTAGAAGAATTCGGTGTATACGAGGCGTTTAAACCTGAGGGACCTGCTTGAACGGTGGTAGTGGGTGGAGACGACATGGGAGTGGGAGAGGTACCTACAACAACTAGTATTTGAGCGGTAAGTCCAAATATGCTCCGTAACATGTTGTTTCCTTCGTCGCCAAGACCATCGACTTACAT